AGGGAGGCGGCAGCGAGGGAGCGAGGAGGAGGAACAGGGCAGCGTACGGGTTGGGGTCTGGCTGGAACGCACCAGCCGCCGCTCAACGGTTCAACCCGGGCTCGCCCGAGTCAACGCGCGGGCACGCGCTCACTGGCCAGCGTGGCGCCTGACGGGCGGGCCCAACCGGTCAGAATACCTGTCAATACGTATAAAACACACTTTTAGCCTCTTTTGCAACGTCTCGCCCCAAACTTGGTACTGACACGTAAAAATTACCAATCTTGATACCAATCTGCTTTCAATGCCCCAATTGTGATACTTTTGTGCAATTTACTCTACGACGATTGCACCTGGGGGCGAGATGAGATAGTGCCGCAACATAGACCATCGTGATGTCCTGTGCCGCTACGAGATAGTTACAGTGAGCATACAACGGTTTTAATACACAATGCTAGGTCTGAATACGGGGACAATTGAATGCGTTGCGACTGATCCAAATATGCATGCATGGTCCAGATATGCATGGCACTGGACGCCGTGCATAAAAGCGAGTTTTCGCGAAAGTCATCTTCTACTTGCGAGCTTATTTGAGCTCGCTATGAACAGTAAAATCACAAAAAAGTGAAAATAAAATAGAAATAAAATCAAACAAATGCTTTAAGTGCTTGCAAAATTTCATCATAAAATGACATTCATGGAAGTCCGGTAAAAAAAACCCAACACCTCAAAATGCTTTGAAAATAACACTCTTGCCACGATTTTCATGAATGTCATTCTTTGCTGAAATTTTGCAAGCACAGAAAACATTCGTCAATGTTTTCCCCATAAATTTTTCAGAATTTGTTTTCTTTTTTCTGGATTTTACCGTTCACCTGAGCTCATTTGAGCTCGAGCTCAGAAACTCTGCGTCCTAAAAATGCCTCTCTTCTTTAGGAGAGATGGTCGTTCCCAGTTCTCAGTTTATCCCTTAAGGCATGGCCAACACATAGCCTAAACCCACAGTGCCATAGTCCATGTAGGAGGATTTGCCTCCAATGGTGTTAGGCAAGTTCTTTAGGGACATAGGGTGTGGTCTTGTGCAAAAGGTTGAAAATGGTGTAGTGGAAGGCAATTAGAGTTTCAATTTGTCATGTGAATTCTCCCAAGACCCCGCCCGTCTTGTCGCATAAACTTGCCTCGCTCTTTTAGAAACTCCACTAGCGAAAAACTTAGGGTTTATGTCCACTCCGACAACGCTGCCACCAAGAGCTTGATTCCTCAAATTTGTGCTCCTTCCCACGGCGGAGGGATCATCTAGGTCTTGTGATCTTGTCGTTTCATGTATGCTAGGTTGCATGTGTCGACAGAGGGTGAATTCAGCGGAAGTAAGGGAGGTGCCGAAAGGGTGGAAGACCTACTCAGTCATCTCGATCTGCATGAATATGAGGAGGATGAGTTTATGTGGGAATCGAAGTGGCTGATCTACGCGTGCAAGCAAAGTGGCTTGCCATAGCGAAGGTGGAGGTGAACAAGGGCTTTAGCCCCTCCGCTCTATACACAGATATTACATTGACATGGAATCTGGCAAGGGAGGTTCATTGAAAGAAAATCGATGATAACCCTTTTCACATTACAGTTCAGGTGTTCGGGTGATTGGAACACTGTGATGACTATGGTCCATGGCTTTTCCAAAATCAAGGTTTGATCATTGGAGAGTACAAATGGGTTCACAAACTCTATGGACATTGTTCTGGATAGGATCACCGTTTGGACTCGTGTCATCAACTTCCTCATTAGTATTTGGTTCTAGAGGTGATCAAAGGCATGTGCATGAACATGGGGAAGGTGAAAAAAGTTCCGATTGAGCTACATCTGTGAGTTCGTTCATGTGAGAGTAAGACTTGATGTTAACAAGAAACTTAGTAGATTTGTGGCAATAAATAAAGCCAGTAAGAAGGATTGTTACAAGGTGAAATATGAGAAATTACCAATTTTCTGTGGTGTTTGTGGCCTTCTTGGTTATTGGCAGCAAGAATGTGGAACGGGCAAATATGACCCCGCAAGTTTGGAGTGGGGAATTCATCCAAATGGCGAGGTAGAGGTCGCGGCCCCAGTCGTGGCTGATGTAAAGGAAGAGAAGATGATGAGTTCAAACCTAACCGAACCTTTTGGTAGAGGAGGAGGGGGTTGGATTTGGCCCTGGTAGCAGTCGTGGTCGTTCTGATGGCAGAATTGAGGGGCCAGTTGAAAACTGGAGGTTTAATGGTATCTATGCGAAAGAAAATAAAGGTGTTGCTATGAAAGTGGATGACTGAATTGTATGAAAATATGTCATTATTGGCCAGAATGCTGATAAAATTTGAATGCATATGGTAAACAAGGTGCATATGACATTCAACAGCTACGGTTGAAAATGATATCGACCTACTAATTACATAATAATAAATACTACTAAACATTCGATGCACTATTTTTTTGACAGGAAGGCCTTCACGGCTAGCTTTATTAATCAATCACACTTACATCGTTTGCTAGAGATTTTACAATAAACTCAGGGGGTGCGTCTACCCATACAGAGGGAGAGTTTGTACTTCCCCAACTAGCTAGCTCATAAGCAACTACATTTGACTCTCTATTACAATGCTCAATACTTACCTTCCCGAACTCACGAAGCAAGAATCTACATTCTTCTAAAACTAGGGCTGCCATCATAGCATGACCTTCATTCATCCGTAGAGCATCAACCACCACAATATTATTCATTCTCAGCATCACATTGTTGCAACCTAGGCCTTGGAGAAGTTTTATGCCTTCTAACAAAGCTGCAGCTTCCACCGAGACGACATCCGGGATTTGCATGAGATAAGCCGTTGATGCCCCGATGAATTTCCCGCGGGTGTCTCTTACTACTGCTCCACACCCGCCTGTATGATCTTCAACATAAAACGATGCATCAACGTTTAGTACTTGTTGGCTGGACAAAACAACAGGCCACTTGTTCAGTCGAGGTCTCTCCTTCGGCTTCCCTGCTGTCCGAACAAAATTTAGGCTTAGAGCCCGGATCAATATCGCAGTTTGTTCCGGCGAGTAGACAGTTTCTCCGTGCACAAATTGTCTCTACTACCATCAGATGTACCAGCTGGTTCCAGCAATAATCTCTGACAATTCTATTGGGTCTGAGTACATACGCTGATTAGCTTCATCACATAAGAAAAAATCTATTATCGCTGCTCCAGAGCGGTCTATGCACATGGCGTCCCTGATAATATTGCCAACGCCCAAGGCTTCCTAAACAGCTAGAGCACGTGGGCATGAGAACAGTACATGGCATATATCTTCCGCGTCCATCTTGCAGACAGGGCATTGAGAGTTAGTACCAACATGTCGATTAGTTAGAACGTTGAAGCATGGTAGCACATTGTGTAAGCACCTCCAAATGAAGATCTTAATCTTTCTTGGCAGTTTGAGCTTCCAAATCTTCTTCCATACTGGATGTGGTCTAGAACCAGATCGGTAGTTCCCCATCAAATCTTCCTGGGCATAAGTCTCTTCCCACTGTTTGTAATACGCTGAGCGAACCGAGAAAGTGCCGTTCTTATTTAAGTGACATGCTATATAATCCTCTGTACATTGGATGCACTATGTTGAAGGGTAAAAAGTGTTTGGATCACACGGTTCAGACGCTGCATTTTGATGCACGCGGTTGGAGTTGCCCTTACCATGTGGGCATTCGCAAAAAGCAAAAATAAACTTTCCACGTGGGTTCCACTTGTCAGTTGACCACACGCGAGAACCGAACGCGCAAACTTCCTGCGCCCGAGTGTTGGCGCGCACCCACCCAAGCGGCGGCGGCGGCGAGCGATGGATCGCCCCCAGCTCCGGAACCCTAGCAGCCGCCCTCTTAAGCCGCTGCGGCCACCGCGAGGCTCGGCCGCCCAGCCCCCGCCAGCGTCGAGGCCTCCCCCCAAGCCCTCCTCTCCAGGCTCGTCTCCCTCGCCTCCACCGCTGTTACGATTCTTGTATTACCCTTCGAGTTCTTGAAACCAAGATTGATGCAGAAGTTCAAGTCTTGTGGGTTGAGTTGGGATTTTTGGGGGTTCAGGAAGACGCCTCGGAGTTAAATCTGCCGTTCGATTCTAATTGAATTGGAATGCCTATCCTGCGTTTCCCCCGCAAAGAAAAACAGAAGAGTTCGTGGCATTTTGGGGAGAGTTGGGATCATTTCACTCTCGATTTAGTAGGATCTGGTATCTGTTTAAAGGCCGTGCGCTTCCGTTCCCCAGCTACATGCTGACGTTTTCCATGCGTTCCTTGTGGTTCTTGAGTGGCATGTTCGGTTTCTGCGAGGTCATGGGGTTTTAGGATCTTCTTTTTACTTCTTTGAATTTTGTCTGTACAGCTCTGGTATTGCGAAATCTTGCTAAGTGACCCTTAAGTACCAACATGTTGGTCATTGCAGCCTTTCTTGAGTGAGAGTTTCATCCTGTAAATCATTCTGTATTTCTGGCTTCATGCAATGATTCACTATCTAATGGCAGATGGAAGGCCAAGAAAAAAGGTTCGATTTGCAAGTGAAGCTGGTAGTCATCACATGCATGCGAGACAGGATGCTAACACAAGCAAAGCTGAGAAAACTAAGCCCCAAGGTGCCTCTAGTCTCACTGTAACTCCTGTCTTTCTTAACAGTACTGAATTTATGCATTAGTACTCTTTTAGACGCTATATGTTTCTGCATCTTGCAATTCTGTAATCACAGCTTAAAGGGGCGTTGTGCCACAACTATAATCTGGTAACATTAATTCTTTTCTTATGTGTCAACCTGTTTGCTTATTGGAATTCCTAGTCAAAGGTTCAATATGCTCTAAATTCAAAAGGATGCTTGCAATGTACCTGTTAGATTGTTCGAGCCATGCGATATTTAATTTTCTGTTGGAAGGATCAATGTTTGGCTGGGAACAACCCACCTGATGACTTGTATTCAAACATTCAAATTTGCAAAATACACAGAATCAGACAATCTAGTCTGCCTAAGAAGATTGGAGTAACAGAAAATAAAAATAAACAGCAATAGTAATAAATGATGTGTGTTATTTGACACTCCTATTTGGGCATCACTTCCTATGCAGGTTCCGATGCGAAAACTACCGAACTCAAATTCTTTAAGAAATTGTGGGAGCAGTCAGGATGTAGATCCCGTTCCCTCAGACAACCTCATCAAAACATTGTGCCAAGCATCTCCAAGCAAAAAGAGGGTGATAGAATGGGTTTGTAATTTTGTATCCACTCTTGCTGTCCTATAGTATCATTCTCTTTGATTCTTCTTGCTTCATACATTAAAAGGAGCTGCAATGCATCAGTCCTATGAACTTCTTCGTTCTTTCTGCACTTGTAGAACCACAGAACATGACGTCGCACAAGAAGTTCCCTGCGCAGAATGTTACTCTGTGTCCTGATGAGACCCCAGCCACACCCTCAAACAATGAAATCTCTGATGAGCAAGTGGAAGTGCAAGCCTCACATTCTGGTCCGGTTTTCTTTCTCTGACCCCTTCTTTTAATTATGAGTGATATATCGATAGACTCTTCTCACTATTGATCCTCTTCTCTGCAGAATATCACAATCATGATACACCTCAGTTAAAACCATGTGATATCCTGCCAATGGGTCATGTTTTCACACCCACGATTCAGACACCATTTGAAATCGCAGGGATTTCAAGAAATACCGGTGAGCACATGCTCATTACTCGATACAAATGTTTAGTGCAATCACTACTTTACTGCTTTGTTATCAAAAGAAATACTACATACTGCTGAAAGTTTTGCTGTATACAGTAGTCAACCTTTCTGGTAACTTTACAGTTATACTAAAGGCTTTGTTGTTGTTCTTGTACAGTTATATGACATATGGCATGGTTGAAACTTTATTTAACATGGTTGCAATGGGAGTGAACAAACTAAAGATGTACTACTAGTACTAAAACTAAAATAGATGCGAATGTAATAATATCATGCCTTTAATCATGGTATTTTATTAGTCTTGGATGCTCTTTTTCCTTGCTAGCTAGCGGATATCTGTTTTTGAAATGTACATAATTTTTCCTTGCATGATGCTGATATGTGTCCTGCAATCGTTCCCTGCTACAAGCACATGTTACTGATTAGATACATCACCTTGTTGAGATGATGATTCACCGTATCTAAATTCTGCAATTCCCAAGTTCTGAAAATCTTTTGTAAGGTTGTGCCCATGAGATCATATGTTGTTAGCAGTGTATTTCTAGCAAATTTAAAATTGCTACATTCAGATGAGATGCTAATCCCATTATGTTTCCACTTCTCGTGTACCGGTAATAGACGCAGAACCTGGGAGTGGACGCATGTTTTCAGAAAAGAGAAGAAAATTATTAAAGCTAGCTGCAAAAACTGTGTCAATGGAAAGTTCTGAGTTGTTGCGAAAAAGGTTGTTATTATATTATTGAATAATTCAATTATTTTTTATATTTTCATGTACTCTAATATTGTTGGTGCGGTGATTGAACTTTTCAGATCAGATTTTTTTGCTGATATCTTGCAAAGGTTAGGCGCCAACGACATAATAAGAGAGGTATTCTTTGCTGAGCCCCTCTAGTTTGAACACTTATAGTTACAAATGTATCATCACCTACTTAAAAGTTCTGTTATCTAGTTGGTTTACCTCTGACAGCTACCTAATGCAATGCAGCATCATAAAGAGCCCATGAGACAGAGGGAAATGGTTCACAGACGTGCTCATTCTGATCCCAAAGGTCATTTTGAAAACATGCTTGATTATGGGGGTGATTTCAAATCATCAAGTAAACTGATATTGGGCAAAGAGTCATCCTCATATGCAAGTGACGAATCACGTCAATTCTTAGCGTTGCCATGGGTAGACGATCAGGGTCTTCCAAGTTTTCTTGATTGGAAAGACGATTTATCTTGTGTGGACAATGGAGCACATGAGAGCATGTCATTACCATCAGCATATTCTACAAAACTTTCAAGTTCTGATTGGAAAAGGGACACTGTTCACAACCAGGTCTCCAACTTGTTGCTAGAGGATGTTCAACACCTCACCAAAGGCAAATTAGCTTCGGGTAATGAATTGGGCTGCAATATTCAATCTGAGCCATATGATCATGATGAATGGGATCCAATGCTGTTGCTAGCAGTCACTGAACCATTTCCAAATCGATTGTCCTTCCCCTGTCAGATCAGAGAGCAGTCTGTGGTGTCGCGTGCAATATCAGATACTTCATGGCAACCTGAGTTTTCCAGATCCCTAGAGCATTGTACTTCTAAGTCGCTTGGACTGGAGGTGGATGGCTTGATTGAGGCAGGATTGTTTGATGATTCTGATGCTGGACTTCAATCTGCATTTGATCAGTCACATGAGAAATGCACTTCAGGATTTTTAGGCCTTAGAAACGGAATTCTTGATAATAATGGTTTTAGCAGTATCTCCAACTTCCATGTTAGTCAGAGCAAGAGCATTGTGTTGAATCCAGACCGAAGTTGCCTGAATTCCATATGTTCAACTTCAGATTACCCTTTTGAGCAGCGGTCAAAGAGCTTTTGTGACTCTGCTGTCCCTGTATCCTGTATGGATGGAATGGTGGAGAGACATTTGACAGAGGCAGAGTTGTTTGATGATCCTGATACTGGGCTTGTACAGGGACTGGATCAGCTACCTTTGAAATTCACTGCTTCAAGTTTTCCCAAGTACACGTCTGGAATTCTTGATCATCATCATGACCCAAAGGACTGCTACAGCATTTTGCGCATGGATGCAAATGAGACTTGTTTGGATTCCTTATCCTCATATTCAGAGCGTTCTTGTAAGCAAAACTGGGAAAGCTTATGTGATTTCTCCACAGAATTGCGGTCATCATCACATCATGTCAAATCTCGTGGTGGTAATTTGGAAGGTATGTTTGGTTTCTCGTCGAATGGAAGTATTTGCAATGATTTTGAAGATGACAACAGTATGACGCTAGTCGAAGGCAACACCAAGAGCTGCTTGTTTGGTACATCGGATCTTGCATTATTTGGTTCTTGCTCTACTAGAGATAGCATCAGCGAGACTCCCATGTTATCTTTTGATGGTGTAAGGTGGTAGCTCTGCACTCCATTGTTCCTTGAAGTGCTATCTGTTTCTGTGTAGACTGACCCTGGTAGTGGACGATAAATTCCACTGGACGCAACTGCATGCTTTATGGCCCTGGCTGAGTCAAGTCGACCCCTCCAAACCTTGGGGCAAATTTTCCAATCAAGGTGAATAAGTGTGGTGCTGGCTTTGTGCATGCAGCTTCGCTGACTGTTGGTGATGGAACGCCTGCGCGGTTATGAACAGATAGATCGCAGGTCAGTCCATAGCCGAGCTGGCACCTACAGTTCTTTCCGTGGTCAGGGTCGTGAACTCTTAGCAGAGGTCACTTTCTGATGCCATCCTCAACAGCCGCTGGACCAGATACATTGCTGGAACTCTGAATGTGCAAGACATTGTGGAGTTTCTCCATCCTGTGGAAATCAGCGACACCTGGTCCATCTACCCTGGCATCGAAGACCAGTTTATCTGGAATTTATCTGACTAAGGTTCCTATTCAGCTAAATGAGCATAAATGCCCTCTTCGGGTGTACTTCTGAGTCAACACTTCGGGACGGATGGGCTCCGTTGAAAGGTCTTATTCTTGGTTGGTGCAGCAAACAGATATTGGATGGCAGATCATCTCAAACGCCGTGGTCTGGTCGCTGCCCCCTTCGCGATCAGACAACTGAAACACTGTCAGACATGCTAACTGAATGTCCATTTGTAAGACAGGTCTGGCATGAGGTCTTCTCGCCCTTGTCGCTGCAGGCCACTGGTCGGCAGTCGGGTAAGACTTGCAACTCCTGGTTTGAGCAAGCTGCAACATGCGCAGGGGAAGGAAAATTGAGAGGTGCACGATCACTCAACATCCTCCTGACTATGTGGCGAGCTGAGAAACGACTGTGGTCTTGAACAACATCTTGCAGCCGAATCGATCATGGTGGAGGTGGAGCAGTGGAAGCTGGCTGGAGCGAAGGCTCCATGTGTATAGTTCTTTTCTCTTCTTTGTTTGTCTTTGGTTTTGCGACTTTGCGTAGACTAGGCTTGCTCACGTTTTTTGCAGTTTTTTAGCTCCGGTTTTTATTTATACCATTGATCCAATGAGATGTGCTTGAACTGATGTTATGAAGTTTGTAAATATTGCCAGAAAATGTATATATTTGATTTGCCTACTGGGTTTGTTGTTGATGTTAGACTAGGGTGATGATGTGAAAACAAAGGCAGGGAGCTGAATGAGAGAGATGCTGCATGTATAGACAAGCTCAATAAACAATCCATTTCATCCTTTTCATATTACCTTTGTTGATTGAAAAGTGTTAGTCTCAGCATGCACGCGTACTCCAGCTTTGTCTACTGTGAGAAAGTACTGTGCAGTACACATATATAATTCCTCCAAACGAAAGCTCGCATCACATTTCACATGTTTAGCGGCAAAAGGCTTGGGAAATTGATCTTGGCACTTTGGAGAGTCTTTGACCGCCAACTTGTCGGCTTCCTTTAGCCACCATAATATAGTACAACAAAACCAAAATACCCAAAGCTTTGATCAATCAACATGCCATGCCATCCATACATCTCATCCTCTGCACACCTGAGTTCACGGACGCTTTTCTTGGAAGTATCTACACCTGAGTACTTTGTGTTGTTGCTCTCCAGCTCCAGGGCCCCTGTTTTTTTTTTCTAAAAAACAAAAACAATTCTGCGCGGACCAAACAAACACCAGAGCATATCGTGGCAAGAAGCGCTTGTGTAACACAATGAGCCATCTTTTTTTTAACACAGTAAACATGAGCATCTCATCAAGTACAAGGTGTAACTGTCATCTGAAATGAAGTGAAAGTTAATGCATCGTATTTAAGTATTTTGAGATTGTTTGGTTTTCGTAAGATGATTTATGTGTCGATAGGAGTAGTGATTGTTATCTGAAACGTGGTAGGGAAAGGAGCTCTCCACTCGACATGCTTGTGAGTTTCCGTGACAACAGTACGTCGACCTCGACCCCGAAGCCGTGCTGCCGGCCGGCGCGTCGCAGACCGTACGTCGTGGTTTGTTTGAGGATTTGGATGTCACGGCACGGGTTCAGGTTTCAAAAACCTGATGCTCCTTTCTAGAAGCATTCTCGGCAGAAAACCACGTAAATAATGCACTGCTTTTCCGGTGCTCGTAATCCTCTCGCGTAGATTGTTCCTCGCCTCGCCTCATTTTGAGTGCTCTTCTCCGAGTGCGGGAACAGCAAATACAATAACCAATCAACGCTAAGAAACTTTAGCCATGGCAGACTTGCTGCGACAAAGTTTGCGCTCCTCGTTGCTTCTCACGAACCTGTCGCAGGTACGCTGAAAATGAGGTGGATTGAGGAGAGGACCTGAGCGGATGCTATGAGACCGACCACCAGGAATCATGGCGCGGGGGCTCAAAGCGGGTGCCTTTGCCGTACCAACAGGAGGCAAACGATGTGCGTGATGAAAGCAAACCATCACTTGAACGTTGGCCATTGTGAGAGCATCTACAACCGGACTTTACAAATCCGGCACCCATACAACTGCGGGCAGCGTCAGACGATCCCTCATTTGGGCAGCCATATATTCACACATCTCAAATACGAATCTTTAAATTCATACAATTCATGCACGTCAATCATTTGATACAAATCATCCCAATTCAACAATTGAAACAAATACGATAAAGCAAAATAAATTATAATTCAACAATCAGGACATGCAAAAAAAAAACAATGTCGGAGCGTGCCGGATCACTTGCCAGACGCCATCCATGCAGCCTGCATCCGGGCCGCATGCTTCGCCCGCATCCTTGCCGATGTTGCCGTAGCCGCTCTCGCAGTCTTGTTCTCCCTACGGTCGTTGATCTCCTTTTTCTTCTTCTCCACAAACCACTTCTTTGCATGCTCATCTCAGAGGTTTTCGTCTAACAACATTATCTTCGCATCCTTCATGTCCCGTATGATTTGCTACCTCTCCTTCTCAAGTTCAATCTCTCCAAATGTCTCAGCCTTCTCGAGATCCCATTTGATCGCGGCCTCTTACTTCTTCAACTCAATTTTCTTCCTCTCAATTTCTAGCTTCTTCTTCGCCCTCTTTCGGTCTCATTCTGTCCTCTCCTTTTGCACATCCAACATGAGCTTGTACTTCTTCTCTTTCTTGTTCTCCCTCATAAAAAAATGCCCATCCATATGGAGGGCGTTTTTGTAGCCGCGGCGTCACGGGAGGCCCTTGCCTTCTCGCACTTGCTTCCCATGACTTGTCGATTATTCTTTTGTGCGGTGGCTCTTCCATTCTCCACTCATCTTCGTCTTCTTGGTCCAACCCAATTGATCAGTGGGAGTTTGAGCCATCATTCGTCTTCTCGCTGGTCTTGAGATCGTCCACAAGTTGTGTTCCCTTTGGTTGTCGTTCAATATCACCCAACCATGGCTAAAACCAAATGACTTCTTCTCGATACATAGTGGTTGTCACCATCGTCTAGCAAACAAAATATGTATAAGCATGAGTATGCAACAATAACAAGCATATGCAAATGATGACAAGATGAAATAATTTATCTTACGTGAGTTGCCACACCCATCCCACTTTGAGGGCGGCCAGTCACTTGTGAGTAGTAGCTGACGTACTTGTTCACTTCCGCTTGAATGATCCTCTATCGACGTTGGAGAGATGCCACATTGCAGTTGGTGACGATAGGACGCAGCTCCATATATTGCTTTTGTTCATGATATTCCTTCCAAACCTTCTCCCAATACTTGTTCCCCTTTTGCTCTATGCCGCATATTGGATCCATTTTTGTGGCCAATCAAGCTTTACCAAATAAGATATCCTCAAAAGTTGAGAATGCTGGACCTCTTGCCTTTGCTGTCTTTGCCTTCTTCTTCTTCTTCTTGTTGCTCGGATTGTGATTTGATGTTGTCCCAACTTCAAATGAAGAGCCGGTTGGATCCCCTAGTTCGTAGTCCATTGGGGTCGGATCTTGATTATCATTGATCATGTCCGACACGATCAACTCCTAAATAATCATGGTTTCAAAGAATTCATTATGTCCAAAATGAACTAGCGGTATATGCAAAACTCTGAACTTGGCATATGCAAAGTTGATCGGACAGGAGCAACAAGTGTTGGGGAACGTAGTAATTTCAAAAAAATTCCTACGCACACGCAAGATCATGGTGATGCATAGTAACGAGAGGGGAGAGTGTGATCTACGTACCCTTGTAGACCGACAGCGGAAGCGTTAGCACAACGCGGTTGATGTAGTCGTACGTCTTCACGGCCCGACCAATCAAGCACCGAAACTACGGCACCTCCGAGTTCTAGCACACGTTCAGCTCGATGACGATCCCCGGACTCCGATCCAGCAAAGTGTCGGGGAAGAGTTCCGTCAGCACGACGGCGTGGTGACGATCTTGATGTACTACCGTCGCAGGGCTTCGCCTAAGCACCGCTACAATATTATCGAGGATTATGGTGGAAGGGGGCACCGCACACGGCTAAGAATATGATCACGTGGATCAACTTGTGTGTCTAGAGGTGCCCCCTGCCCCCGTATATAAAAGAGTGGAGGAGGGGAGGGCCGGCCCTCTCTATGGCGCGCCCTAGGGGAGTCCTACTCCCACCGGGAGTAGGATTCCCCCTTTCCTAGTCCAACTAGGAGTCCTTCCATGTAGTAGGAGTAGGAGACAAGGAAGGGGAAGAGGGAAGAGAAGGAAGGAGGGGGCGCAGCCCCTCCCCCTCGTCCAATTCGGACTAGGCGTTGGGGGGGGGGCCTGCCTCTCCCTCTCCCCTAAAGCCCAATAAGACCCATATACTTCTTCTCCCGTTTTCCGTAACTCTCCGGTACTCCGAAAAATATCCGAACCACTCAGAACCTTTCCGATATCCGAATATAGTCGTCCAATATATCGATCTTTACGTCTTGACCATTTTGAGACTCCTCGTCATGTCCCCGATCTCATCCGTAACTCCTAACTCCTTCGGTACATCAAAACTCTTAAACTCATAATATAACTGTCATCAAAACCT